TCTCAGCCCCAGACTGTTGTTTTTCCAGGCATTGTATTGCATTACCTCCACAGGCCTCCAGGGCACCATACCAGCTTTACAAAATAATTTGCTAATTTCTTATTTGAAATAGTTCCGGCCACAGATAAAATTTTAATTTTTGGTGTTTTTATTTTCATATAGATAATAAAAAAATGCTTTAATTTTGGCCTTCTTAGACATAATATGATCACATGGTATCGATATTGATAATGTTGAAGTTGTGCAACAAAGTTGTGCTGCGTCATACTCTGACGCAGTGGTGTGAGGAAAACCACCTCTCACTCAACATCAGCAAAACCAAAGAGTTGGTGGTGGATGGTGAGAGAAGAGAGAACACACCCCAGCACCATCAACAGGATACCAGTGGAAAGAGTCACTGGAGCACTTTCAAGTTTCTTGGAGTACACATCGCTGAGCATTTGACATGGACTGCCCACACAGACACAGTGCTGAGGAAGGCACAACAACGCCTCTTCTTCCTCAGTCGTCTAAGGAGGTTTGGAATCAGTCCTCCGCTAGTTCTACACCTGCACTGTGGAGAGCATCCTGTCTGGCTGTATCACCACCTGGTATGGAAATAGCACAAGCAGCAATTGCAAAGGCCAACATAGGGTTGTGTAAACTGCTGGACGCGTAGTAGGAGGTGAGCTTCCCTCCCTCCAGGACATCTACACCAGGCGGTGCATGAGGAAAGCCAAGAGAATTATCAGTGACTCCAGCCACCCAAGCCACAGACTTTTCTCTCTGCTACCCTCAGGCAGACGGTTCAGCAGCCACGCACCAGGCGGCTGAAGTAAAGTTTCTTCCCTCAGACTATCAGGCTGATGAACACTTAACACTCCACACACAGACTCTTCTATACCCCACTTTAACCAATCCATACTTGAAACAATACTGCCTACAACTGTGGACACCTTTTTGTTGTACATATTGCTGTCAATTTCACACTGTCGCTGTATTTGCACTTTAATTTTATTTGCACTGTCTGTATTTTGCACTGTCGTTGTCTTTGCACTTTCTGTATTTTGTTCTGTCTGGAGCAAGCACCTACGTTTTTGACTCATCATAGTATGCGTGTTGCTGATGATGTGACAATAACAGTTATTTGATTTGATTTTTGATTTGATGACATTTCAGATCACTATTTAATTTCTTGTTTATTGTGCATTGATAGGTCTACAAATTCATCTTCTATTTATAAATATGGTAAAACGATCACCTAACACTTACTTCTGATGAAATCTATTGGTCGATAGATCCTTTCTAGCCCTTTAGACATAGTTGCTCCGTTACACTTAAAAAAGATTAGGGGAAAATTCTGATGCCATAGCACATTGAGCACACATATGCCTTAAAGAAAGCTGCCTGGAACATAGGAGGAAGAAATCAAAACTAGAGGTTTTATGTCTGGCCTGGAAAGAAAGCATACCTAACTTAAAAAAAAGCATTAAAGTCTGCCAGATCTGCTTATTTTTCAACTTTAATAGAACAAAATAAACACAACCCTAGGTCCTGTTTAACACAGTAGCCAATATAAGTAAAAATAAAACATGCATTTTTCAGAATCTAGACCCTATACCGACCAAATTTTAAAGCAATTGTTTTCAAAAGTTTCTGAACCTGTTCTTAACATTTGAAGTTCATTCCTACATTTCCGATATCTTCCTAAAACTTTTAAACTACCTGTCATTAAGTCACTTATTTAAAAAAAAATAAAAATCACAGCTTAATCCCAAAGAACTAGTCACATAGATCCATTTCAAACCTGCTTTTTCTAACAAAGTTACTAAAAAAAAGTAGTATCTGCTCAACTATGTTCCTTCCTACAAAGAAACAATATTTATGAAAAATTTCCATCAGGATTTAGAGGATTTCATAGCACAGAAACAGCACTCCTAAGAGTTACAAATGATCTTCTTCTGTCATCTGATCGTGGTTGCATATTGGACCTCAGTGCTGGATTTGATACAATCTGTCATAATATTCTCATTAATAGGCTTGAAAATTATGTTAGTATTACAGGAACTACATTGGCCTGGTTCAGGTCTTATTTATCTGTATGTTATTAATTTGTAGCAGTTAATGAAGAGGCATTATGCAGATCAAAATGACACTGGGGTACCACAAGGCTCAGTTTTTGGTCCCTTACTTTTCAGTTAGCTTTATGCTGATGATACAACTTTATATCTCCTCTCAACCTGATCATTTGTATTAATTAACGAAATTAACAGATTGTATAGCTGATATTTAAAATTGGATGACTAATAACTTCTTATTACTACATTCAGTTAAGTTGAATTTCTGCAGTTATCATAACGTAAAATTTAGGACTTTTTAAAACCTTTTGAAGACCATTAAGTATTAAATTTAAGACCTATATCACAATACCAAAAGCACACACACACGAAGAAAAAATGCAAAAATCACAAAATTAGTGGCAAAATGTATGTATTCAGAATGAACAATACTGAAGACAGGTTAGATGCATCATTGAACTACAGGAAAAAAAAAAAAACAAACATCTTAATGCTGGATTTATACTTTCGCCTGGCGCCGTATCGCGCAACTCCGCAAAACTTGACATGTTCGCTGTTGTGATATTCTTTAAAATGACACGTCAAAAAGAAACTGATCGTAAGGTCAGATGGATAAACAGAGAAGTAGAAAGTTTTTGAGACTAGGTCATATCATTATGGTCATTCCATGTTTTTAAATGAATGGTTTTTATTATTTTTTATAATTTATTTTAATGATTATTAAGATTTTTATAACCATTCAAGTTTTTTTAATTAAACTTTGATGCATCACTTGCTTTTATTCATATCTCGGACAGTTTTACCTATTAATGTTTAATAAAATATTAATGACAACAGGACATGAGTTGCTCTACAAATATATATTTTTATTATGGCAGGAATAAACGCAAAAATAGAACACTTACTATAAAATACTGATGCTTTTTTTTAGATTTAGCCTGCTCTACAATTCACACATTACTGTCTGGTTAGTTTCTGTCCTCTACTTATAAGCTAAAAAGGCAATAATGGTGCAAATATTCCTGACCATTACCACCAATAAAGCCTAGAAAACAGGCAATCAGTATATTGTAAACCGATGGGTTCAAATATTAATTTCTTGTTATCAAATAATTTGTTCCTTAATGACAGTTTTATAACTATTAAATTGTTTTAAATTCAAAACTGTAATAAACATCAGTGTAAAACCTATAAATGGTGGAAAAACATATTCTGTAATTGTGTACCTGGGTCACTTTTGCCATGAACTCTTTTAGCTTTAACAAACTTTTCTCTTAGGTTTTCCCAAACTTTTTAACAAAAACTTTCCTCCTTTCCCACTGCTCTTGCAATTTCTAGCTATTGGTCATCTGGTTATCTCTATGATCATGCATGGACTGATCATAAAGGTGTCTGTACAGTAGTATCTGTTTCAGATCAAATCTCTTCAAAGTGATGTATATTCAACAAAAAATAATACACGGCGCCGCGTTTGCTCGAGTCTCAAAATATTTTGTGCACACCGCCAGCCGAAATCATGTGGCACGCACCCAAACGAACCTCCGCAAACTCTTCGATGAAGTCACATTCGCCACGTGCACTCAATAACAGAGTTCAATAACAGAAAGCTGATTGGCTATTGCATGTTGGTCTCATTTGTGGTTGTAATTACATCTGGACTAGTGAAATAAAGAACTACAACACCACGAAAGCCAAGCAATAATCACAAAAAAAGAATATAATGAGTATTAGATATAGCGTTACATGGACATTGGAAAAATAAGACCTGTGCATAAATATTTAAGACCTAGAACAGCAGATTAAGGACTTTTTAAGGCCTAACATTTCGATTTTTAAATTTTTGACTTTTTAAGACTGTGGAAACCCTGTAAAAATGTTGCCAAACTTCAACATATGCTATCAATGTCTGTTGCGCAAAAGCTAATTCATGCTTTCATGACCTCTCAGTTAGATTATTGTAATGCATAACTAGGTGTTTGCCCTATTGGACTAATTAACAAACTTCAGCTGGTTCAAAATGCAGCTGCTAGAGTGCTTTCTAGAACAAAGAAATATGATCATATTACCCCAGTTCTTTCATCACTGCATTGGCTCCCTATTAAATGTTGTGTACATTTAAATTTTTTTATTGACTAACAAAGTCCTGAACAGCTTAGCTACCCAGTATTTGAGGGAGCCCCTGGGGTATTATAGCCCCTCACGTCCACTATGCAAAATTAATTCTGGACAATTGATTATTCCCAGAATATCAAAATCACCTGTAGTCAGTAGTTCGTTCTCATATCTGGCACCTAAACTTTGGACCAGCCTTCCTGGCACAATTTAGGAAGCAGACACACTCTTTCAATTTAAAACTAGATTAAAGTCACATCTCTATGCATTAGCATACATATGCATAAAACACAAATGCTTTTGAAATCCAAATCTTATGAAGAATTGTTAGTCTGCATTATTTAGGGCAACCGGAGCTGGGAACACTTCCCAATAGAAATTAGACATTTGAATGGCATATGCACTAATGTTAGTCTGTTTTTATGACCAACTGAGCCTGGTTTGTCTCGAGGTTTTTTTTCTGACACTTTGGTCAATTGGTGAAGTTTGTTCCTCGCTGCCTTCGCCACTGGCTTGCATAATTTTGGGACTTGTGGAGCTGTGCATCAATGGATTGGCTCTTCAGTGTTTGGACTTTCAGCAGTGAAAACTAAACCACACTGAACTGAACTAAACTGAAATTAAACTCTAAAATCTGGACTGACACAGTTTTAATTTATTAGAACTTCTACAGTGTGTTAAGCTGCTTTGACACAATTGTAAAAGCGCTATAGAAATAAAGATGAATTGAATTAATCTAATTACCATAAAACTGTCAAACGAAACAGTAATGAAATTGTAACCCTTATACAACATATCTGTAGGTAGAACAACAGAAATTAAAACACTGGCAAGGAATCTTAGAATTTATAAACATTCATTAAACATTTGTGCAAATGTACAGCATAAGTTGCCATTTTTCATTCACACAGCAAATCTTAACGACAATTGTTACACCAAAAATATTAAGGTATTGCAGCATGAAACAAAACTATTGATATTTATATACATTAAAATAGCAAAAATAAATAAATAAATAAATAAATAAATAAATAAATAAATAAATAAATAAATAAATAAATAAATAAAAAAAACTGTCCAGATATCATAATTTTCAAATCCTGTCCATGCAAACAAAGTTGGGTTTTCTGTTATTATGGTGAATTTTGAGGAAATTAAGTTGGGGTTCATCACATCAACAAATCAAGATACTGAAGTACTGTCATAAGATACAAAGAATGTATTAGGATTTAAAACACAAATTTGACTATTGATAAGACCTACACAGCATTTTCTTACTGTCTATTGAGGTAGTTGCTTGCTAGTTACAACTAAACAGCAAAGTTGTTGAAACAGTATATGTTTAGCATTCACTGAATGAACACAAAAAAACATGCAATGATGAACAACAGTTAACCATTATTATGGTGGAACATCAACGGAAATGTGGCAGAGATCATCGGTCTGTGAAGATTGACAATCTGCAGTCTGTGAAGCTGGAGAATGTAAGGTCTGTGAGCATGTAGAATCTGCAGGAATATGTGAAGTCTGTTGACATGAGTCAGCGGTCTGAGAGCTTTCTTCCTCTCGGGGAAGTCTTTGAATGTCCTGCCTTAACTGCAGTAGACTTTTACCCCTCTCAAGTCTGCTTTTATCCACTAGCCGAAAAGCCTCCATGAATTCATCGATGTCAATGCTACCATCATTATTTGTGTCCATACTGACAACCAGCTCATTAATGACCTCATCAGAGATCTCCATTTTCAGATAGGCACTGAGCAGTTTCAATGTCTGACGAAAATCCTCAAAAGAGATGAGACCTGACAGAAACAGAAATGAAGGTGTAAGGATTGCAATATGAAAAGACATACAACTATGTTATGTCTGTTTTCTGCAAGAATTATAACATGCATTTAGAAGATATATTATTATATATTGTTTCATGCAAATATTTTTTCATACCTGAATTATCTGTGTCTACTATTCTAAAAATGGTCTCCAGTGTGGATCGATGTCTATACAGTGTCTCCAACATTGACTGCTCAATAACCTGTAATAAAAACAGAGGACAATCGTTTTTGCAGAGTATCTGTTAAGATATTGTCCGTTATTTGAATAATGCGATTAGAACATGAGCTTCAATGTATTTTTTTATTTTTTTTAAGTTGCAATATATACATATAACAGTGTTAAACACAAAACAAAACACTGTGTACCTGAAACCAACTATAAAATGATGCATTTCTCATATTACTCGCATTAATTCATATAACTTCCCATAAAAAATAATACATATCTCTTAAAAATTATTAAAAGTACAAGCTGAGTGACTGACATTTGTTGGTTTGTACAGTTACAATTTGGAAATTTATTTTCAAAATTGTTTATTGTATTTTTAAGATCTGAGTTAAACTCTGCTGCTATGTTCAGTGTGGGCATAAATGTCACAAAAATGATATTCAAACTCACATTAGTAGCATTTAGCAATGCAAAAAGGCACATAATCAGTACCTGAGGTTATTGTTGTCTCAGTAGTTTATGCTGCTGTTCAGTGATGAGAAATAGGATTTAGAATTACTTTCTAAAATATAAATTTGAGGTGGCAGTTTGGACAAAAACTGTGTTAAAGGAACACCACCATTATTATTATTTTTATTTATTATTATTTTTTTTTTAAATGATCAATTTTACAAGTCTTTAACACAGCCATTTTCTAAACATTTCAGCTGATCATTATAGCTTAGCATAATTCATTGACTCGTGGTTTAATTTGATTTGACCATTAGCATTTCACTCAAAACAATTCCAAGAAGAGTTGTAAAAAATGAGTTTGCCTCGATCCAACTTCATGGTTAAAAGGTCATGAAACACCAAAACACATTTTTTGAGCTGTTGATAGTCGTATGTGTCCCAAACTGCTAAAAACACTATTAGAAAAATTGGTAGTTTTTGCGTTATTTCGAGCAAATTCGTACTTCCGAATTTTTGAAACTGCATCACGGCCATGAGATCTTAGTGTGTGTTCCAGCGTGTAGACTGGAAGTCTGTAACTGGGTGTGCTGCATTAATACTTGAGTACGGCTTGGTTCAAACCAATCAGCGCGCTCTATTGTGCAACTTCATTAATATTCATTAAATTTACAGTGTTTAGACGGCAGAGACGCCACATTGTGTTGGCAAAACAAGCATGCAGTGTTGCTTTCATAATTTGCTTCAGTCAAGTTTTGTTTTCATTTTCTCTCTGTGAGAGCACAGCTGGACTCACGTGTGGATTACAGTGGACGCAACGCTCAACAACAATAACTTATGTGTCTAGGAACATTGTTTACTCGAGAGCTTTTCTCTTCTGCAAATGGAGATCCGGATTTGCTGCTTGTCTCCTCTTAATAAAGACGCGGTTCTAGTTGCTGTGGATTGTCCTGTCTCTACAGATTTGGTAAGTGAGCGACCAGTGGTCTTTGTTTATTCAGTTTGTTCGTATCGAACTAACTTTTGCACCGAGTGTAAACAAGTTAGCACCACAACCAAACTGATACGTTCTCTTGCAGAACGTATTAAGTATAGGTGTGTGCATTAGTTTGTATGTGGGTGTGTCGTTTCAATCATGTGTTACAGGTACGAACGGCATTGGAGGATCCCCATTTCGTGCTGATGACGTTGGCCGCTGACTGTTTGTGTTGGCCGCTGACAGGTTTGCGCCACCAATCACTAATTGGTGTAGCGTTTAAAAGCCGAGCCCAAACTGTTATGGCGAGCTTTCTCTCTCCATCTCTTTCCTTCTCTCGCCACTTCTCGTTCTTATTCTTTCTGTGGGTCTCTATGAGCAGGGCCGGCCCGTGGCATAGGCAGTATAGACAAATGCTAAGGGCGCTCCGTTTAGCCGGGGATATGCGTTTAGCCGGGAGAGCTGAGCTCGCGCGGAGTGGAGCTCTCAGTAAGGGACCGTCGGAAAAGCCAATATTTTCTATTGTTTGCTATGTTTTATATCATTTGAAGCTATTTGTTGTCCCATATTTTTTACATCCCAACGTTGACAGATATGCACTGTTAAAAATTGTCCCGTTAAAAAACAGTAAAATACTGGCAGCTGCAGTTGCCAGCAATGTACTGTTATTTTACAGTATGTTGCTGTAAAAATACATGGACTACATTAATTTACACAATACTCAAGTGAAATCATTTTGCTCACTGAAAGCAATTGCCTCAAATTTGTCAACTGCTGAATGAGTTTATGAATTAATGTGCTATACATGCTTAGAAGTATACTTATAATGATAACTTATTTTAGTTAATTAGAAAAGTTTGGTTTAACTCTAATGTCATTTATTTCACATCAGCACACATACATGTAAATCTGGAATTACCAGAGAGATTCTGACTGCATCAGCAACTAAACAGCCGCTATCTTTAAATAGAGAAACATGCAGAATAACGTCAGCAGTTCACTGTTCATCTTTAACTCATACACTGGCTCTACTCTCCTCCACAACGGTGACAGACAGAACAAATTAGCTTCAGGTTTCACAGTAAAATACTGTTTTTTCCTTGATTTAACAGTAATCTACTGGCAGCTGTGGTTGCCAGCAATATACTGTTTTTTTACAGTCTATTTCCGTAGTGTAAATTAACAGAATATTACTGTTAAAATACATTTTTACACTGTGATTTTACCTCTCACACCTTTAACCCTTTAAACCCCAGAGCATATACTTCAGTTTTAATTGAAGTGTCCACACTACTGAGTGTTCAAGAAACATGTAGCAGAGCTGAAGTAAATTCATTAATTAACTGACTAATTAAATGATAATTGAGGATTAACAATGAACAAATGAAGAAATACTGAAGGGAGAAAACAAGAACAGAACATACAAAACTTTAGTCACAGCTTTATAATGAAATAACCTGAAGAACAACAAATGATTAAATCATTTAAATGATCAGCGGATGATTAAACAACTCTACAAACATCATCACCAGCTACACTTATTACTTAATACATGTATTTTTGTATAACATTTACTAAAGTTCTTCTTGAGAAAAAGTGAAAGTTTTACGTCACCATCATGGAGAACAGAGTTTGCTTTAGTTGGGCTCTTAGCCCTGACATTTTTAACATTTATATATCTTGGCTGCTGCAATTGTTAAGAACTTTGTTTAAAAAAGCTCTTTTGTTGTGGCAAGCCAGCCAAAAACCTAAATAAGATCTGGTGATGTTCATGTTGTTATTAAATGGCAGAGTCTGTTCTCATTTCGTATAATAAAATGTACTGCTCCTATTCAATGTTAAATCTATTGTTTTACATTATATGTCTATATATGGCAATGATTTATGGAAGGTTTTAAGAATATCTTGGACAAAAACACGTTGCTCTATGGTGTAAATCGCAGTCAAAGAGACATCAATAATCAGTGTATGAACCTCAATAATAGTGACAACTAACAAAATTAACAGTTTAACTCCCAAACAGGCAACTGAAAGTCTAAACATAAACAACAGCAGAATCAAACACAAATAAAGAAAAGTGTGAGACCATTATACAACATTTATTTATACCGCAATGCATGCTGGGATATTTGTACCGTGCCACTCCCAGCATGCATTGCAGCATGAAACATTTGAGATGTTACCATTGTTGAGATACAAGGTCAGATTTATGAGGTCTGAGTGTGTATTTGTCATAACTGAACTGTTTTTGTATGTTATTTCTTAACTGTTAAGTAATTACAGAGGTATCTTTTCTGTTTCCACTTCTCATTAATTAAATTAATACCTGCAACTACGCATAAAATCTATTGCATGAGGCCCTTCTTCCAGATTTATAACAAAACATTTATCAGAACTAATTTCAGACAAATAGATTTCTCTATTTATTGACTTTCCAACTTGATTGCTATAATACAAGCATTTTGTTAACTCTTTATTATAGTAATTGGAGAGTCTGAATTAATAAGTTCAAGGGTGAAGACCCCAACTAAACCAGCCCCTCACTCCATTACGGTGACACAAAAAACACCTTAATTTCTGTTGGATCTCAATGAGAATAGTATGGAAGTCAAATCAGTCAGTAATAAGTGTGTGTCTGCTGTTGTTTGTGGAGTTGTTTAATGATCCTCTGCTGAGACTGAAGCTGTTTTATTTTATTTGATTTTATTTAATGTTGTAACTCAAGTCACTGTTTGTGTTTCTTGTTTATTTTCTTCAGTAATTGTAATTATTAACAGCAGGTGTTCATCAGTGTCTGAATTCACTCATTAGTGTTCATTAAAACTGTCAGGTGAACTATATTAGTTAACTAGTGTATGAAATAGTGAACAAGGACACAAAGTGTGATTTCAAACACAGACTTCAAAACATCGAATCTGAACTCTGTTAGCTCCATGTTTTCTGCAGTTGGTTACTTTCTCGAAAACAAAAATGTTACCCAGAAAGCACTGTTTTTAACAGAATATTACTGTTTTAGTGAAAAAAACATTATTTTACCGTAGAATCTGACCGTTTTTTAACAGCAATTTTTTACAGTGTGGCATAACATTGCTAATCAATAAATATCTATAGTGCTATCTGTTAGTTTTAATGTCAGCTAATGTTATGGAAGGGCATAGATGTTATGGAAAATAGTAATAGTAATGTAACTACCTCCATCATTACTTCCTCAAGCAAATGTGTAAATATTAGATCTATTCAGCAATAATGTTAATTGCATTGGCATATTTATCTGACGTTTTCCCAGCTTTTAGTCGCTCAAAAAGCTATTTAGTTTCTTACAGTGGAATTTACTGCGATGTGATGGGGCGCCACCTGAAATCTTGCCTAGGGCGCCAAATTGGTTAGGGCCGGGCCTGTCTATGAGGACAGTCTCTCTTGCAAGGACTAGTCTGATAGAATGTGCTTTGCTTGTGTCTTATGCTCTTGTCGAAAGTTAGAGATGATAATGCAACGTGTTTGCTTGTGAACTTGTCCAGTTAACTGAGATGTTTGAGTGATACCTCGGAGAGGTGTAGGAGTGAGTAAGTCGCGCGATATACATATACAACACTGAGATGCATATTTTAGTTCATTAGGTTCAGGAGAATGTGCTGTTTTATGTATGTTTTGTTTTTAGTTAGAGCAGTTTAGTTAAGACGTTTTGTACATTGAAGATGTTTCTTTTCATGCTTTTCTTTTCATATTTAGTCTAGTTTGTTAAAAACAGTTACTGAGTTTTGTTATATTTATTTCTTTGATTTAAGCACATTCAACTAATTCCTCTCAACCCCCCAAGTAGTTCATCATTTAATCATTTTCCAGGGATGTAAATCTATATCTTTTTAGCAGTTGCTGCCTCTGCTCCAACTTCAGAGGCTGAAGATCCAGGATGACGGTGCCTTGCTGTACATACAATTGTGCTACAAATCCTCCTCGCATTGATAATTCTCACCAACAACTGTTGCTTGCTAGATGCTGATCTCTGCTGCTCTGTGGGCTCATGTCATTCTTTCAGCATTTTCACATGGAAGATTTGTCAGGTATGATGTCTGGATAGAACTTCTATTTCATAGATCACAGTAACATTTTTTCATGTCATGTTGTATGGTTCTTGCCACTTTGCCAGCAACTTGTTGTCTAACGATGGAAGTACCAGTAGCACTTGATCTCCTTTCAGTCAAGCATTTTGTCATGACATGGTTTTGCTTCTCTTAAGAAAATCACAGGTTTTCTTGGGTGATACATGCTGAAACTTCTCTCTCAATTAAAGAGCATAAGGTATAATGTTTTGCTTGTGTGACTTACCATTGTCTTCCTAACTGTTTAAGATGTCCAGATTTGATGGGTAAACAAAAGTTAAAAAGAGGAGAATCCCATGAGGGATTGTACTTCCGGATATGTGAACAGTAAAAATGGTACCCATGTACCCTCATGTCTCTGAGACAAATTTTGTTACCATGCTTTTTAATGTTTTTTGAATCAATAAACAAACCCATCAGTTTGTGGTTGAAAGGGAGTCATACATAGTCCATCCAAGTAAATGGAAAAGTTTGTAGCTCTGTTTCTCTAAATCTATTACCCTTCTGGGTCCAGCAATATCCCCACCAATTATTTTAAACGGTGTACATACAGTGGGCAATAATGGTGCTACTGCAGGGTTTTGGGTAACTGCTAGTTGATTATTGGGACATGATTTGCAATAGTCTTTAACATCTGTGAATATTCCTGATAAAAAAACAAAACAAAACATTGGTCTCTTTGGTCTAGTTCCTGCTCTTGTCTCCAATCTCATTTCTTTTGGAACTCCATACAGTAAATATTTGAAACATGCTTGCCAAAGCAAAGACCGCTGTATTACTTGATGTTGGTGTTAAATGTGTTCTGCCTTCTTACATTCAACCTTTCTTGGTATGTATGCACATTGCTACACTCTTTACTTGGGAGGCATCAGCTTTTTGGTTTAAGCTAGGCATACACTGTGCAAATGTGGCTCAGATTTTAAGCCAAATTCTGGCTTATGCTACTTTTCTTTGAATTAGCTTGATTTTCAGTTTGTCATGCTGTGTCCATGCAGTGTACAAGAGGAACAGAGAAGCGATTAAACTATCAGCAATTTGATTGTTTTCTGACATGCCCCTTCTGACATGGGACTTGTGAAGAAATTGCACAGCTGAATCAGAGCTATGAAGTGACTGATTTAAGTTCACTGTTTATGCGCTCACTGCACCTGGACAGGGACCTCTAATTAAAAGTTATTTTATTCACAAGTGCTAAATATATTTACAGCTGAAAGTGATAAACATAACAAAACACTATGTCCTCGAAACCAAAAATAAAACAAACTGTACAAAGTATACAACATTTTTCTTGTCACTTAATTAATTTTGCAATATTAATACAACAGAGGCTTGAAATGTAGTCTGAAAATATTTAAATGAAGGGCTGTGCTTTACCTCTGAGTTGGGCTTTTTTAGCGCAAGATCACAAAACCAGCCATGGTAATTCAGCATACCGTTGGTGGTGGACGACACTAGCTGAGGATGGAGGATCCTCCAGGGCAGATCCAGGTGAAGAACACGCTCAACTGCTCTGGCCCAGTCACTCAAACTGATCAGTCCTGTTGAAGTCATACATTCAATATTTGTGGATCATAAAAACCTCTGACATGCAAGCCAAATAATTAATTTTAAGAGTATCAAAACATATTGCAAAACACAGCAGCCACAAATGTATATTATATATATATAAAAAAAAGATTTTGTATTTTAAAGATACAAAAAAAAAAAAATTCTAAAAGGGAGCATGAAATGTCTTCGCAAACCTTCCATCAATAGGCCTTTTGGATCAATCCCTTCAACATTAAGCTGACTAGGTAAAGTAAACAATGGTTGATGACTTGTGTTTGCTACTTTTTACCTATAATCGTGGCCTAATGCTTAGTGAGTGGGACTTGTAACTTCAGTTTCTATTAGAGATTAGTATAAATTTTCCACAAATTTTATACATAAAGTCCTTTTTTGATGAAAATATCCTTTGATTTAGTATAACAGTACATTTTACAGTACATTATGGTAGATTTAGACACAGAAGGACCAGGGGCCTCATGTAAGAAGACTTGCTTTGAAATCATACTAAAATATTGTGTACGCAAAAAGCTGTAAATGTGCATACGCAGTAAAATTCAGATGTATGAAACACTGGGTACACCGAATCACACGCATATTCTCTTGTACATCCGAATGAACGTGAAACTGAGCGCAACATGCATGAGCGCAAAACCCCTCCCTGCCTACCCCCTCGTATGAATATGCTAATGACTCTACTTTGGCAAAACCCAACGAAATTTTTTTGGAATTGAACACAATGTAAAAAGATGATTTCTGAAAACTACTAAAAGTTCCACAACATAAAATTACAAAAATATCTCTTTTTTCAAATAAACTCTTTATATACAGTATATGCCGTGTACTGGAAGTCTGGAATTTTTGACCTGTCTGCATAGACTGGAGTATTATAAATTATTATTTTTTTAGGTACTGTATACTGTGACATTTTGACATCTTATGGCAGACATCTTTTATTAATAGTGCAGCTGCAGATCAGCTAACTTTTTTTAGTTCTTCTGTAATATTCTGTTGTGGTGACCCTGGATTAATAAAGAGACTAAGCCAAAAAGAAAATGAATGAACAAATGTAACTGGAAAAGTCTCAGCTTACCCTCTTAAAAAGCAGCAGTACACTATCTTTACGTGTTTTTTATTAATAAAGTTTTACCACTAGCAGCGCTGAGACTCTTCATCCTATTTTTCAGAACTGGTATTTTATTCCATCTAATTTCTTAAGCAAATATTATGAATTGTATACTAGACAACCATTATATATTTCTGGTCTTAGCATTGCTCAGTAGCTATTTTCAATGATTGTTGACTTCCTCCTGAATAAACCATCACCATTTGTCTGTTACTTTCTTCACACATAACTTCCATCCATACTCCAAGCATTGACCACCTTTCGGGTCCTGATCTCAAGCTTTCGCAAATTACTGTAAAAACTAATCACTAATCAGAGCCCTCATTTGTTTGTCATCATAAACTGTGGACTTCTTGCAAAGTATTTTACAATATTTTAAAACTACAAATATACAAGACAATCTTCAGAATAATCCATCATCATAACATGACTTGCCTAATTACCATAACGATGATAATGCAGCCTGAGGAGAGCTTTGTTAAGGTAAACAGGGTCAATACACAGTCTTACAGCACCATCCTTTTGCATGCAGCTACTATAGAAAAAACCCACTCACTGGGTTATTGAACTGCTTTTTGACTCCCAGTTTGGACATTCAGTCTAGTTATTTGGTTATTTTGTCTTTCAATGCCAAAGGCACTCGTCTGGGAGCACATATTGTAGGGCACACAGAGGGATCAAGGTGCATGTGATATATTACAGGCAGTTTGCCTATAGTGTTGCAGTTAAAGAGATAATGTAAGCTCAGGAGCCCCCGGCTGGAGATCGTGCACACTGGGCCATGTTGCACAAAGTGTAATTTGACACTGTCTTTGAGGCCCAATATAGGTTTTACATCACTGTCAACTACATGGAACTGCAGTGCCCCGCATGTGAAGTTTACATTAGTAACACCTAAAGTCTTTATGATCTGACTGCCAAAAGCCACAAGGTTGACTGGATCAATGTGCTGGAGAGCACCTTTGGAGAGTACATTGCACTGTGCTCCTGTGTCGATTTCATTTAAGTTGCTTCCCTGTGTTGGAAGTAAACAGCAATACGAATATCTCTCCTCTATCCGCTGGCATAAAAGACATTTGCTGATTTATATGCAACCTGTGCATCAAGATCCCTTTTTCTATGTGTCCTCCTTCTGCGTATGGTGTTGGGTGCTCTGGTCAACTGAGATGGACCTTTTCCAGGTCTGTTGTTGGAGCGTGTTCTGTTCGATCTGTGACATTTAGACAAGTGGTTTCATTTTCCACAGGTATTGCATCACTTGTTGAAGGCTGGACAACTGCTTCGGTCGGATGAGCATGAAGGATACTGCATGGCACAAACTTCGCTTTACTTCTTTGATTCTTTGATAGCTGTTTCTTTTTTTAATTTCTGTTTCCCTTCTCAGACTGCTCATGTAGTATGCATTTTTCAATATCTGAGTTTAGAGTTAGATTTTTTTCTTTTAGCAGCTATGTGTAATTATTGTTGTTGTGAATGCCGCATACATTATACAGCATTCCAAACTCTCATTTTTTTCTCAAGGTTTCGAACATGTTGAAGTACGACTGAATTGTTTCATGCAGCCTCTGATTTGTTGTATTGAATGCATGTCCATAATTACACTGCAAAAAATGCTTTTCTTGCTTAGATTTTTTGTCTTGTTTCTAGTCCAAAAATCTAAGTAAGAAAAGCATTTTTTGCAGTGTACATTCTTTACAGGCAAGCAAATTTCCTCAAACTTCTTTACTATTACCTTTGCATCCTCCAGATCTTCCCCCTCCTCCTAAAGTGAAAGTATCATATTTATCTTGAGCATCAGGACTGACGAGGTTGAAAAAAGTTTACACTTGTACTTTTGCAGTTCCTTCTGAAAGACAGGTATTATTGTATATGTGCCACTCATGCTTAAACTTTGTCCAGTTGTCCTTGATTTTGTCAAATATGAGGGGTTCAATCTTGCGAAGTCCTTGTGCTATTGTCAGTACAGGTTTACTTCTAACACCATGTAGATGCGTATGAACTAATAGACTGATTCTTCTTTCTAGAACTGCTGTATCACCATCTTTTCTTTTTTTTTTTTTTTTACAACTAACAACCACTTTCGTGTTCCACGAGTAGGGGGAGGCTGCAGACTTGGATCCAGACAGATCTACGGCCCAAGCAGTTTTACGGCCCAGGATGTTTTACGCCCCTGTGGTTCCTGTTGTGTCCAGTAGAGGGAGGCAGTACAGTATTATTTTAAGCCTCCAGAACTTTATCACACCCAACCAAACGCGACACCATGAAGAGGTATCTATGTTAAATACGTGTTTAAAACAGTAGCAACCATGAAACTTAAACCTTTTTTTATCAGATTAAGGTCGATATAAGTGTATGTCAACACAAATAAATTGGTGTAATATAACAGCAATGTTTTACTTTGACTCAATTTTAGCTAACTATGTGCGACCAGCTACATGTTCTACATCAACAAAAGAGTAAAAGAACATTAACCTACATAAGAAAGTGTGTTATGTAGGCTAATTTTCTTTTAACTTTTTGTCTCAGCAAGGGAGTAATTATTATATTTTTTATAATTATTTAAAGATATATATTTTCTCATAGATTAGACAATACACTTGCATGGTCTGGGTTGTCAGCCAAATCAACACTTAAACTACACAACATTATTCCTCCAAATTTGACTTTTTTAAATATTGAAATAAATCTAAACAGATCTGAAAATTTAATTGATTTTATTTTAAATTTTAAAATTGCATTGCTTTCAATTACAATCAATATAATACAATCCTGTTCTAGTTTAAACAGTTAAACTATCATATATCTTTAAATGCATATAGAAACTCACAATTATAAATGGTCTACTCATTTTTGTTCATAGCTATGCAGTACATTTTATATATTACCAATGAAGTTTGCATTGCACATGCAATCATATTGTTTATCGGTTATTTTTTCATAATATTTATTGTAACAATACCTCTGCATTCTTATCAAAGCACATCATAACTCCATATTGCACTGTATTGTTTGGTTATCATTTTGCTATTTTCAAAATGCAAATTTATATATAAACAATACAACAAATGCTACAATTAACCATTACAGTATCCAAAAACTTGTGTTTTTAATTTTTTAAATTAAATGAATCTAAATTAATTTGCAATAGAGCTTTTGCAGATCTGGAATTTTTCGGTGAGTGTATCAATTTTACATATTTTATAGTGAGTTTATAACTCACTTTATGATACATTAATCTAGCATTCGTTTTTAGTGTAATCTAATTAAAAATTTATATATTTATCAACAGGACATTTAATAATCTGGGAGCGTTGACTTCAAATGTATTATGTGGTCATATCTTTCATCCCCCCTACTGAACGCATTAGGAACAACAGGGGCGTAAAGCTGTGGGGCGTAAAACTGCCTTGGTCGTAAAACTGCCTGGATCCAAGTCTGCAGACGCCCCATATTGACCTTATTCTAAAATGCGGAAGTGCGCCTGTTTTCGCGATTGTCTTAGAACTTCCGTTTCAGTCGCCTATGGGAGAAATGACTAGGAATAATAAACGGCAGAAAACGGGCAAACTACTTGCTCTACAAACAAATGTTTGCATGACTATACAGACCAAGTAGAATAATATAACAAGGAAATATCAGTTTGCAACATCAAACAGCGAAACGAGCAGTTTTTAATGTCTAAAAATGAATGGAAGTGAATGAGACCTGAAGTCTCGTGCCAAAAAGATTCAAATGGCAGCGCCCGCTCGTCCGCGGATGTGGTGTATTGGGATAATGTGTGTGTGTTATGATCTGGGTGTTGGTCTCGCTATTGATTGGTTCTCGACAACTATTTAAGCCATGTGATGTATTGTTGTGATGACGTTG